ACTTACACAGTATGCAAGTATTTTTAATTTTCTACCTATACAATATACCTTTTATAATTTTATATATATTTTCACTTTAATGTTAATTTATAACTAGTGTGCTTGAAAATTTTATAATATTTGAACTATTCAATAATTTTCACTACTCTATTCGTTTTAAGTATGTTTTCTCAACTTCTATTAAGTAAACAATTTATTCTATTTATTTATCTTATTTGATTTTAGACCCAAGCGTTGCTACAATACATGCTATTTCGCTTGACAAATAACAATTCATTAACGACCTCAGGCGATAGACGGGTTCTTTTGGGCGTAATTTGGTTGCCAGCATCGGAAAAAAGCCGTTCACTTGGAACGGATGTAGCTGGAATTGATAAATATTTTCTTGCCATTCTGCTTAATACAGGGAAATTATGCTGGTTAGTATGCCACCACTTATAAACATCTGTGGTATCGTGTGGAATTTGTGTAATCATTTCATTTAAATAATTGTCTATTTCAACTTCACTGCTCATTCAACTTTGACTGTGGTTAAATATTCTTTTTATAAAGGTAGGTGTGGGTGGAGATGTTTCAATGTTATTGTCTTCAACTGGTTCTTTATTTATAACAGTACTTTGCCAAGACTTGAATTCAGCACGTAGTTTATCAATTGTATTAGCTCTCACTTCGTTTGACCACAGTGTCATTAATTTCAATCGTGGATCTAATAATGTGGCAATTAATCCAATATCACCAGGATCATGCCAATAATGATTAAGAGAATTATAAATGGCACTTCGAACTTCTAATATTATTTTTTCATTTGAAGGTAACTTTTTGCGGTTAGTCTTTTTTACAGCCGATTGTTGAACATTTGTATCATCCGAGTTATCGTCTTCAAAACTTTCATTTTCAGATGACATTTCATCTTAAGTACCAATTTAATATTTAATATTTAATATTCAAAAAATAAAAATAAAAATAAGACTTATTTTTACCTTCAATATTAGTTGCACCCTCTTCAAATTCATCCGATGTTAACATATCATAGTCGACAAACTCAAGTTTTAATGCTTCAATTATTGGATTGACTGCTGAAAGAGTAGCATATTTAATCCCACTAAGATAAGTTGTTAACTCATCAAATGGCTTGAACACTTCTATTAATTCTTGTAACAACTTCCACTCATTATCCTCTAACATAAGATGATTTAACTTATCTGAATCTTCTTTAACACCCACCTCATCTCCTAAAGGTAAGGTTGCAGCAAGCCAATCAATTGCCGGACGCAATACTAGTAGCCTTTGCCAGGATTTATATGTAGTATTCCACCTGGTTTTTACATCACTAATAGCACGCAGAATTTTAATATTTGTTTCAGGTATTTCTAAATTGTCATTATTGCCTTGTTCCACCTCAGATAATGGATGGTCATCAGAATCGAATAATTGAACTGGAACCGAAGTGGCCTTACCACGCTTTTGAGCTAATTCAATCTGCGCTTGGTCGAGATATTGACATTGTTTTGGTGATCTAAAGAATTCGATTAGTTTATGAACTCTTCGGGTATATGGCTTTATAACCTTTAGGGCCTGATATAGAGTTGTTAACACACATGTAAGTAAATCTTATTTTAACTAACATATATTACTTGCAAGCAGGGTTTAAAATTGACATGCGTGTGTGCAAGTTTTTTTTTAATATGCAATAATTTTGTAAAAAATTTATGCATATATGCAAGTTTTTAAAAAAAAAGACTGCACGAAATATATATAAAATTATAAAAGGTATATTGTATAGGTAGAAAATTAAAAATACTTGCATACTGTGTAAGTTGAAAAAATTTTTTATGCATACTGTTCAAGTAACTTTCTTTTGAATTTTAAACACTGCTTGTAAGTTATTATAGCTTACATAAGGGCTATGTATTACATAGCTTTACCAACCCTACCTGAGTGACTGTTAGCTGAAAAGTGTGGGCAAAGCAAGCAATTCGTTCTACACCATCCCAGATCCTGATGGCTTTTTTCATGTTTGCTCCATTGTCTGTAACGGCACTAATTATTTTTTCAGCCAATCCAAACTCTTCAATCTTTTGGTCCAGGTATTCTTTAATCCTTTCGCTGGAGTGTGGATATTCTAATTTTTCAACTGCCAATATAACATCGCGAACTTCAAAATCCGAAGTCAGCCAATGAACAGTAACACCAATATATCCCTCATTATTCCGAGATGTCCATAGGTCAGTTGTGATTGAGGCGGTTTCACAAGTGGTGTGAAGTAACTTCTTTAGTTCTAACACACTTTTTTGATAAGCAATGGTAAGCTCTTCTTTAATACCTCTGCTATTTGGTATTCTGAATGCTGGGTCAAACCTATTTATCATTTTTTGATAACCTTTTCCGTTAATAGTGTTGAAGGGGAGGGAGTCTATGACCAACCACTCAGCCGTAATTCTTTTTAATTCTCTTTGAATGGTTTCCTTATGAGGGGACACTTTTCTAATCATTTTATCTATTTGTAATTGCCGTTTATTGGAATCTTGTATAAGGTCATCTGGTCCCAAAATTCCATGTTTTGTTCGAAGATGGAATTTCATATTACTGGTTCCTCCATCATGCTTGTAGTTTGCTCCACATTCCTCCTCAATGCCTTTTTTGAGCATGAATATCTTACAAAAATCGCGTTCATTTTTTGTCTGAAAATATTTCCAAACATAGCTCTTATTAACAACTGGATTGGTAATATTTACCCGTATTTTTTTCGCATGTTGTTCATCTACAGATTTTTCAGTAGCTTTTCTTCTAGCTGCAGTGCTAGAAGATTCGCTATTATCTTGAGGTCCAATATCGGAATCAGTATACAGATCAGAATACGGGTCAGGATAAAG